GCAAGCAACAAACTATCATCATCAACGTTGATTATCAAAACTTAAACAGTTGTCAAATAGCCGCAAGATTAATTGGTAAAAGACTAAATAAAAATAAGCATTGCGTAGCAAACGCAGGAAAAAGGGCAACAACAACGGCGACGATGCTTTCAAAAGCACATGAGAGCTTTTAAGCGGCTGCGGTTTCGGCTTCGGCTGCTGCTGTATCTGATTTCCCACGTTTAGAACGAATCACAACAGAAACGCATCATTAATCATGCTAGGCAGCTAAAGGCAGAGCGAGATAGCCAGCGAGGAGAGCGTATGTCAGGCGAAGAAGGAAGCCGAAAAACTTTAGGCTGGCGAGTGGGCAGCGCAGCGCAGAGCAGGGCAAGGCATGGCAGCCCAAGCAGAAGCAGCAGCCAAAGTCAAAGATGCATGAAAAGGCACAAAAACAAAAAAAACACAATAACTTTCCAAGCGGATGCTAGCAACTGCGCAATACTCTGTATTGCTTATTGGATAGGGGACTCGGAACGCAAACAGTGACTTTCAAACTGTGCACTTTGAAGGATTTTTGCAATTTGTGATCGTGGGCATGGTCCATCTACAATTGTGACTTCAGCTTTAAGGCTGCAAAGCGGATATTGCACAAAAGCCCGTATACCCTTTTGCACATTGTGAAGAGCGTATAAAAAGCGCGTTTTGGACTGTGTCTTGCTTTGGTTTGGGGCTTTGGACACGCTGCCGCTGCGCTGCTGCTGCGCTGCTTTGCTGCTGTTCTTTTCATGGTCAATCACCCGACGCTTTTAAAGGAGACGCAACAAACACACACACACACATACACACGCACACACACAAAAAGAAAGAAATACTACAACAAAAGCGACTAATTACAATCATTTGTGACTTTCAAATGGGCGAGAGAGACGCCTATCGCTTAATAGGCGCAGCACTAATTGGAGCGAGCGATAGAGCACATGTGGCATATTAATCAGAGCAGCCCCCGTTCCCCCCGTCGCCACCCACAACCTTTTAGACGACCTATCCAGCTGCAAATGCGCCTGATCCTCCGCCTGGGCAAGTTCATTGCACATGCCCCGCGACACACACACACACACACGCACACACGTACACACACTAGACACAATTTTTTTCTTATATTTTGTTTACTTTTTCCAGCGACGCAGCCGCCGGGCAACAACAACAACAACAACAACAGCAACAGCAACAATTGGGGACTGGCAAAAACTGGTTTCTTGTGTTAACAATTTTTCGCTCTTTCGGCGTCGCTCTTAAATATCGAACTGGCTTTTCGAATATGCCCAACGAAAACCAAAAACTGAAACCACCAAAAACCAGTTTACCGACTTCAAGGAACTTCAGCAGGCATCTCCAGCTCCGCGGGGGTGTCCGAAAAAAAAAAATGGTAGGAAAAAACTGCAAGCAAGTTGTCAGCCAGGCTAAACAACCCGAAGCCGAAGACGCAGCCGAAACCGAAACCCAAACCCAATAGAGCACTGCGTGTTTGTTTTTGGGTACATGCATATACCCTGTACTTGTGGAAAATGAGTGGAAAAGGGTAAAGAAACAAAGGCAAGCAAAGGGAAGGAGACCAAATATTATATATATATATAAAATATATGTATATTCTTGATTCTTAGTACAAACAATATCTGTCTTTAAGCTTCTTGTAGAAGAAACAATATTTAGACGTAATTTTCAAAGAAGAAATCGATATTTGGAACGCCCCGCTTAGAGCTAAAGCACGTAAATCTCGTTGATTTGAAGATGTTTCTTGTTTGAAAAAAAAAACTGCAGTTTCTGAAGATGAACTTTGTCGGAACATACGATAAATGAATAAACCAACTATAATTTTAATGATTAAATCATCTAAAATTCTCCTAATTAAGTGAATTTTGCAGATTTTTTAAATTAACATATTCCAAAAATAAATTCTTGCATTTACTTCTGGACAATTATCATTAGAGAAAGTTAATTGGATTAACTAATACGAGTCTGAACCTAATGCTATTTAAAAGTTAGACAAAAAGATAATAGATTATATATATGTAGAGAGTTAGAAATGAATACCCTGAAATTCAAAGAAGTTTTGGATATAGAGAAGATATTGAAGAGCCTGGGATTCGAACCTCGTTTCTCGGATATGGTATACTGATACAGGGTATGTTCTTAACAACCCCCTTTCTAACTTGTTTCTTTCTATTCTTGTATTTAAGTTTTGTGTTATTTCTTTTTTTTTTTTTTTTTGGAAGGGTACACTTGGACTGGAGTGCGTCTTTGTTCTGTGCGGAGTTATTAGACGAGCTTGTTTTACGACCATTCCCGCTCAGATCCAGAAACAAAATCAACAGCCCGATGATAATCACAGACATGAAACTATTTTCAAAGGCACTTAAAACAAGGCGCGCATAAATCTTGACAAGTGTGGGGGACACAAGGAGCACGAGAGGGTTAGAGAGGGGGGGGGGGGTCACGAGATGGGGGTTAGGGGCAACAGCATCGTAAAACAGCGACTAGCTGTTGATTTCTGAACTGGCGGTTTTTTATTTTTTTTTTTTTTTTAATTACAACACGCAAGGCACGCGGCGAAAGTCAGCCAGAAGGAGCGTTAAAAGAAGCAGAAACCAAAGGATGAAGCCATAATTAATTTCTGGCAAGAATATGGCAATTATTTGGGAGCTGAGCTGCGCGGGCGTAGCTGCCAGGCATTGGCAGGCTAATTTATTGTAACGGCAACTGACAGTTCGAACCCCGAACCCACTTTCCTTGCTGCTGCTGATAAATGGAGGCTGAGTGCGACCTGATTTCGCCTCAAAAAAAAAAAAGAAGAGAAGAAAAAGGGCAGATCGCATTCGATGACTTGCCGAAATCGCAGACTTAACGGCAACTTAAAGTGACGCCTTCAATTGAGTTAAATCCTGTCCATGGTGCGCGACAGCTGCTGATGCAGTTGCTCAGCTCGTTAGGGGTAGCCCCTCAATTTGAGACAATGCCACAATGCGGGCAGGTTTCGTGCGGTCGTGTGCCCCTAATCAGATGACATAAATATGTTGCGATCAAAATCAGCTTGTCACAGTTGACAGGGAGTCTAATGTAATTGCTGCAGTTGATGGGAAAAGTTCTTATCGCTAATCGCAATATTTGGACTGGTTAAGAACAAGCGCAGCCGGGCAGAGAAATGTGAGACAAATGTGACATTTCAGCAATTCAAATGCGTTAAATGTGCGTGCAGAAGGGCTTGATAATTGACAATTGATGTAGTTAGTGAAGGCCCTACGGATTACAAAGATAAACGAGGCAACAAAGAAGGGGAAGTCCCTGCTTTGTTAAGGATCTCAGTCTTATTGACGGATCAAAACGTTCCCTATGTTGGTTTCTCTATAGAGGTATTTAAATGGGTAAATAATAACGAGTCTTTCCTAACGTCTTAATAAACTCATTTAAATGTTGCTCACAAAGTTTTAGAAGGTTTCAAGACTATAAACTATCAACTAAGATCAAAGTCAAAAATCAAGTTGTTTCGAACCGCCGCACCGAACCAGCGACTTTTCTTTTGAGTTTGCCACCCTCGATGAACAGCTTTAGAAGCAACTCAGAAAATCTAGAGTTCAAATAAAAAATAAAGTAAAGTGCATTTTGTTACCCAACCGAGTTAGGAAATCTTGCAAAGGTGTTGTTGCTTGCCACAGGTAGTGGCATCTTGGCCAATACTAAGGCTACCGCAGGCTGGGATCTATTTGCTTTTGGCCATATTACTGGGAATTGGCAAGTGGTCGTTAAGCCAAGTTGGGCGCGGAGGAGCCGTTCTCGATGCCAGGTGTCGGATTGCATTAGACGACTGTTTGTTTGTTCCGGCCACACGCAATACAAAGAGCCGCAGCCAGGCCGAGTCTGCGCCAGCTTTCAGCTACACTCAACGCTCATTAACAGCTTATGGAAGCGGCAGCATCAACTCTGTGGTAGCCACACCAAGTGGCATGCGGCATGTGCCACAGCGGGCCGAGGCGTGCGGACAATGTGTCAAATTGCGCAAGGCGACAGGAAGAAGAATGGAAAAGCGCTGCGAATGGCAAACATGTGTGAAAACTCAAGACAGACAAACGGAGGCTGAGCAGTTGCTGAGGGGGTTTGAAGAGGGGGAGTGGGGGAGAGGGGCAGGCTGCAACAGTCGGAGGCAGCTAAGAGTCAGCGGCTGATGTCTCCATTAGGCGCGGCCGTGCCTAATGAATGACTCGCTCTCTTTAAAGGTGAAAGCTCAGGGCATGAAATTGTAAAACCATGCGCCCTCCCCCCCCTCAGAGCCGACCCGTTCCCCTCCTCATCCTCCCTCCGCATCTCACCCCTGGCAGGCATGACGAATGCTTGCCACAGTTTATCGCCACATGTTGCAATGCCAAAGCAAAGCAAAACAACAACAAACAAAACAAATAGCAGAAAGAACAGTTAGTTCGGCTTAGCCAACTTTTCGATACCCTAAGCAGTTTATCTATAAAGCATTTCCATTCACTGAATACCCTATAAAAGAGGAATACACACTGCATGCATGACTAGCAGTTAATCTTATTCTGCTTTGATCAGGCCCATCATTTGTCAAAGCTATTCTATAATGCCAAGCGTTACATATTTGGTGAGAAATTTAAAAGTGCCCGCTTGAAGGGTATAAGAAATGTACAACCCCAGTTTTATTTTAGACTATTCCACATGGTTGCCCTCTGCCGGGTCTGTCAATGCCTACCCCATATGCCAGACTATAAATAGGCATAGAGTCTATACCGAATGTAGAGAGAGAACAAAGAATGCAGCATCTGGATCTGGCCGTGCATAGGTCGGGAGTGTTGGCTATGCGACGGCGTCGCCACCCCGACGAGCTTGAGCAAGGCGCGGTGGAGGAGGAGGAGGCGGAGATGGTGGCAGAGGAGTGGCAGATTGGCGGGCACTTGGAGCGCCACAGACTGTTGGCGTTGTGTTTCCACTAATATTAATGATTGTGCTCTTACTTGGATTATTGTTGGCCTCGCGCCAGTGAGCCGCGGCGCGGCAACCGAAGGTGCTCCTTGCTAGATTCTTGCAGCAGCTCCACTTCTTGCCGGACCAGAGACCAGGATGATACCGATACGACTTGGGCGTGTTGCTGTCCTCGCAAACTGAAACATGAAGAAGCAGAAAGAGTACGACAACAATAAAAAAATATATTTATATAAATATATATATATATATATGTATATATCGTATATATCGGCAAAGAAAAAGATTCGACCCACACAGCTGACTCTGCAGATTTGGGTTAAGCATTGTTGTGGCTCTGGCCTGGATGACTCCAAGGCTCCGAAGGCCACGTTGATGATGGCTTATCGTGCTGCAGCGATTGGCAGCTGCTGCATCTGCAGCGCTTTTTTCTTAGCAGCCTATACCCTTTACGAAAATATCTACAAAGGGGTCTATTAGCACAATGCCCTAGCATGTAACGGGCGGTAAGAAGGGACAACTGGCTGAAATCATGGAATGCGAAAGCTAGGTACTACATTATGTACAAATATCTTATTATCGATAACACATGCATATCGATAAGCAGTTATCGTTTTTGGACATATCTCACAGTTAAAAGTGAGAACTAGCGGAGTTGATTATGATATATATATAAGCTGGCGACTTGACATGATGTTCTCGCACCGTTGTGTTATCGATAAATCTCCAATTTGACACAAATCGATATGTGTATATCGGTTTACAGTTGTCGTTTTTAATATATATTATGACGTTCACAGATGCAGACTACGCCAGTTTTTCAATACTTGCCTTAAAATCGATATATATCGCTTGATCTTGTATTTTGGGCATATCGTTAAGAATACGATAAATAATCGATATACATATATCGATTCTGCAGTCTGGCTCTTTTTGAGCAAAGCTCCGAGTATAAAGGAGCTAGAGCACACAATTTTGTATCTATACAAAGAATATCTATATGTTTATATCTATATATATTTGTACATGCCAACATATTTGGTACATATACAAATTTAAATAGCATCGGAAGTTTCGTATAGATCGGGCTATGAGCACAGAGCTTATTTAAAATTCTGGGAAAGAGCTGGGTAGAGGGTATCTCCTAGTCGTACACTTGAGCTTTGTTATACTGTGTTTTTTTTTTTGGGTCATCATTCAATTCGCGCGTCCGTTGGTGCTGTCGATGTCGATGCTTACCTTGTCGTATGGCGCGTATCCAATCGCTGCGCTCCTTCTCGCTGTTGGCTATCACGTAGAGCGTGTACTGCGGCACCGCTCTGCCCACCAGTTGCCCCTCGCCCAGTTGCTGTTGGTCCGCCGTCTGTTGCGGCTGCTGTGCGGCTGTCGTCTCGCAGTAGCCCACTTGAAACGGGTAACCCTGGTAATTGGTCGGGCAATGCGTTAATGTTAATGTTAATCTTAATCAAAATCATTTTACGGTCTACTCACATCCGGCGCAAAGGGATCGCCGCCCTCGCCGTTAACAGTCGCCTCCTCCACGAGGCGAACGCCTTTCAGATTAATTCGGCCCCGTTCGCGGCGTCGCTGCACGGAATAAAGAGAGCGAGAGATGCGATTAAGTATATATTTGGATATTATAGAGAATGCAATTTATGGGCTGCAGACTTTTAAGAGGCGTATCGGTTAAGGTACTCATTTGAAACGGTTATGTTGCAATGTTAATAGTGCTTTGATGGAAATAGGATATGGGGCGAATCGGTTAAGGGATTATGTTGTGATTGTGGAAGGAGCCGGTTATGGGGTGAACCGGTTATGGAAGAACAAGTCTGCAAAACGAACAGCTTAGAGGCGAACCGGTTAAAAGTTTTTTACTATCAAAAACCGATATTAAATAAACCGGTTCTAAGTTTATAAAAATGGGACAAGCCGATGGCAAATCTGGCTCAGAATTAAACTAAGCAGGAAAACCACGTAAGCTATAGAGAAGCACGTATTACTATTGGGAAAAAAGGGAATCGGTTAAGCCTAAAATAGCTTAAAGCGAAATATTCGCGAATCAATTGTGTGACATTTCTGAAATACCAAACCCTTTAAGCCCCAACAAAGCCATTTAAATGGGCGTAACAACCCCGAAATGATGTTAAGATTTTATCGATTTAGGCAGCCAAAGACCCTTATGAAGTGCACGCCCTGCCAGAAAACATGCAACTGGTTTTCGAGGCAACGTTTAATAAAGTGCCACTAAAAAATTCGTCAGCTCTTTTTTGCTGCTCTTGCTCTTGTTATTGTTGGCCTGGCATTCCACTTGGCGGCACTTAAGTGACGTCCTGGCTGGTCCTTGCGACTGCAGCTGAGGGTAATTTTTGCACGTGTGCCGTGAGCAGGCATGGCAACGGGCGGGGCGGGTAACGGGTAACTGACTACCTCAATTGTGCTGCATGCGCAATTAAGCCAACATAATTGGCCTAATTGACTTGACAGGGCCTAAAAGCGCGCGAGAGGAAGCCCCAAGAAATGGCTTTGCTTTTTCTTGCTACTCTGCTCATTTTCTCATTTTCATTTTCTTTTTTTTTTTTTTTTTTGGCTGATTAGTTGTGATAAATCGTAAGCGAACACACGCAGCGTGGCGTCATCGAGTGAAAACCGAGAGATAAGCACGTCGTCTCAGTGTCGCTTAACCCGCTTCTGGCTTATCGCAACTAAGAGAAATAAGAAGAAGAAAAAAAGAACCTACAAAAAAACAAAGAAAACTTCGTGTGGTCAAAGTTGAAATACCCTTTGCGGGCATACGGCACGTGTCTCTTATACCAAAACTTTATTTCGGAGGGATTGTTTCTATGATTTGGTAGTATATGATATAGTAGTATATGAATTAGTAGTATATGAAATAGTAGTAAACGACTATGTCCAGACCAAATCAAATCTTGACCAAAACTCTATCACGGACTGATTGTTCCTATGATATAGAAGCATTGAAATAGTTGTATAAGATATAGTAATCCGATCTTAAGAAGATTTTGCAGCTATGTAGAGACTAAAGTAAAGCTTGTTCATGTCAAAGTTGTCTAAATAATCGTGAACAGCAAGAGTTTTGCATGCAAAGACTTTATTTTCGACCGATTATCCCAATGATAGCCATATGATATAGTGGGTCGATCCCTTCGATTCCTATATATGTACGAAGTTGCGCTGTGATAGCTTTGCTGGGAGCAAAGTTCACATAGGTAAGGGCTTATATTTATTAAAATAACTCGAGTAAGAACATGCTTTATAGCAAAATTATAATACCCGCCGCAAGGGTATTAACAAAAGTGAAGCAACAATATAAAGTAATAAAAAAAAACTTAAGCAAAAGGCAGCAGCAGCGACAAAGTTGACACAAAGACCTCAAATAAACAAGCAGCGATTTCAACAAAAAAAAAAAAAAAAATGAAAGAAAAAAGTAAGAAAATAAACCAAGAAACACTTAAGAGAAAAACAGGCCAGAGGCAGCGAGGCAGCACTTGGGGTCAGTGGGAGGGCAGAAACACAGCAAAATAATGAAGAAGAAACAAAAAATTGAACTTCCTTTTCAGCTTTTTTTTCCAGCACTTTTTCCAGACTCGGGTTGATAAAACAAAAACAAATAAACACAACAAAATTCTACAAAAATACAACAACAAAAAAGTATTTGGGTTAAGTCAAAAGCAAAGTGGCGGCAGGCGGAGGTTCCAGCGAGAAGCGAAAGAATTGAAATGAAAATTTCTCAAGTAGCGTACAAAATCAACTTGACAGCCAATTGAAACTGAAATTGGAAATGGAAATTGAAATGGAAAATGAAATTGAAACGCACTTGAGGCATGCGTGCATTCAATTGCCGCTAATTTGAGAACAGATTAAGTGAACGGAAGAGAATGTTCTCTATAATAATCATCATCTGGCATGATCAAGATAATTAGATGATGATGAGTTGAGAATCAAAAAGTTGTGCTGACAATAGAAAAATAGTATATAATGAGCATGAGTTAAAATAATATGAAAAAAAAAAGAAAAATAGTAGAAAGAAAAGTGAATCTGCAAAGAATGAGTTAATTCGTATAGAAATTGATTTACTTGGAGTTAAAACTAGTTGGGAATTACAAGCTTTTGTAGGTCAGCTTGCAAGTGTAAATGTAATATGTATGTATGTTGCCTTAATCCTAGATAACATTTAAAGCTCGCCAAGCTTCAAAGGGTTGCCACAGAGTTCAGATCTATGTTCCTTGTGAATGAATGGAATTCGCAATGACTGGGCGTGGCAGAGAGAAAGAGAGAGAGAGAGACTGAAGAGAATGAAACCAAAGAAGAGTCACAACTGGAGCGGCAAACAACCGGCGGCTGTCGAGGCGAACAGCCGGTCGCCCGACCCGGTCGAGCCGTCAGTCTGGCAACATCGTCAAAGCCTTTGACGCTTCCTGCACGTCAGGGCTGCCATGTTGTGCCACTTTCCAGTGAATAGCGCATAAAGTAAAAACTTTGAAAATTACAAAAAACAAAAAAGCTGGCAACTAGCAATTGAAATGGAAATGAAAGATGCGAATGAATGAAAATTTATGGCCAAGTTGTGTGCGTTGTCTGCCGTTGTGTGTGTGGCATACTAGTTGAGAATCATGGCAAAACTTTGCGGGTTCAATGAACTACCAAGTGTGTGTGTGTGTGTGTGTGTGTGCGTGTTGTTGCAGCAAATTGGCAAACGCGACATGTGGCACTAATAAACGGCAAACGAGTGGGTTGCAACCGCAGGCACGCAGTTCCATAAAATCAACAGCTGTTTGTGATTTACATGTGAAGAGGAGACAGCAATCAAACAGCGCTAGAGGGGAGAGAGTGGGCAGAGAGAGGTGGGGCGAGGGTGTTGGAAGGCGGTTTACTAAACTCAAGACCTTTGCAACTAATTTTGGGGGCAGACTCTCTGGAAATCGAAATCGAAAGGCAGCTTCAAAAAAGTGAAAGTCAATTAATGCAACATTAATCAAAAAGTGCCTTTAAATGCAGCCAGTTTGGAACCTTAAAAGGCGGCCCAGAAAGGGGCGTGCCAAATGTTCAGCCACTAAAATAAGTGTTGAACAATAACCATTAGAACTAGCCGCAGGCTGTGGCCAGTGTTGAAGAGGCTGCCGCTGTTGAACAGGCGTTGCCATGCTGAGAAAGGTGACAAAATGTTCAACTGGAAATATAAAAAGATAATTAGAAGAATCAGCAGTGTTCTAGGCAAGCGTGCGAGACCTGAAGATACCCTGTAATCAGCTACATAATCTTCTGCATCTTCCTTCCTGTGTTCCAATTGTTTAAGAAGAAAACGTTCTCAAAGAACTTGAAATAGATGCATATACTCAAAATAAAAGACTTTACATCTCGATGTATCTACTACGACTACATATCAAAATCGTGGTCTACAGATACTTTGGCACAGCATAAGATACATTTTTAATACATTTAAATCTTGTCGCAAGTTTAAAAGAGGTCACTACTGAATAATTCGTAAGAAGTCAGAGCTCAGCACAAACTTCTCCTTGTTGAATGGTGTAAAGTTGTGCAGCAATTTCCGTGAACACAGAAGAAAAGAGAAGAAAATAAAAGAAATGCAAAAAATAAAAAGAGTAACACAATATGCGAAAGGACAACAAAACAGTTTGAAACACGAAACGTTGTCCAAAAGGGGCAGGCGGAACCTTTGACGGTGCCCAGGTGAGGAGGAGCGGGGGACAGACGATGGGCAAGGGAAACTGGCAAACTGCAGCTGAGACTGGAAACACCTGCGCATAATTGAATTGAAACTGTCAAAGCAAAGCGACGACAAGTGCGACAGGTAAATAGGCAAAGCAGGCAACAAACGAGAATTGAGATGAAAGAGACGCATGAAAATAGCGCAAAGATGAAGCGAAAATTGAAATTAAATGAGGTAAACGACGGGCTGAGTGCATAAATATAACAAAAGGTTCTCAAGGGATATGTGGAAGGTGGCAGGGAAAGGGACTGAAGAGGGAATTGCTGAGGTCAAAGGATTCAGAAAGTTGGAAAATGTGGCGGAAAATGAAGAAAATCTAAGAGAAATGATCAATGTAGAATAATAAACATGGAAATTCTGAGGAACCAAAGAGAGCAAATGTATCTGTATCTGTATCTGTATCTGTATCTGTATCTGTATCTGTATCTGTATCTGTATCTGTATCTGTATCTGTATCTGTATCTGTATCTGTATCTGTATCTGTATCTGTATCTGTATCTGTATCTGTATCTGTATCTGTATCTGTATCTGTATCTGTATCTGTATCTGTATCTGTATCTGTATCTGTAATCTGTATCTGTATCTGTATCTGTATCTGTATTGTATCTGTATCTGTATCTGTATCTGTATCTGTATCTGTATCTGTATCTGTATCTGTATCTGTATCTGTATCTGTATCTGTATCTGTATCTGTATCTGTATCTGTATCTGTATCTGTATCTGTATCTGTATCTGTATCTGTATCTGTATCTGTATCTGTATCTGTATCTGTATCTGTATCTGTATCTGTATCTGTATCTGTATCTGTATCTGTATCTGTATCTGTATCTGTATCTGT